ATGTGAAGTATCACTGTTAGTATTGGTGAGTATAAAGTTAACATAACAGCCAAGGCTGAGGAACACTGAAGATGCTTCAGGTCCTATAGTATCCAACACGCATCCAAAATTTAATCCTTTGTGCAAAAGAGATGATCATATTCATCTCATTAGCATGCTTATTTGCCCTTGTTTTTATTATGTACACAATATTCTGTCTGTGTGTATATCTGCAGGCCAGAAGAGGGCACCAGACCCCATTACAGATGGTTGTGAGCCACCATGTGGTTGCTGGGAATTGAACTCAGGACCTTTGGAAGAGCAGGCAATGCTCTTAACCACTGAGCCATCTCTCCAGCCCCTGCCCTTGTTTTTAATAAATGGCAAATGCATAGGTGTACCAAAGAATTGTTTTAAAATAAATTTCTTAATCATTCACTGTCATTAAATATTTTACATTCATAGCTGTTTGCCACAGCTACATGCCAGGGTTGCATCTGAAAAGAGGCTACAAGTGCACAAAGTTTAACAAGTCCACTATTCACCACGGGATCAGGTGTCACTACAGCTGGTCCTTGTGACTTCAGCATGTGGAGCTTAAGGGGGTCATTGGTTGATGGGAAACCCAGGAACGGGAGGGAGTTCCAGGGACACAGCTGTGCAAATGTATTCACCAAGGTAGAAAGGCACCTTCAGAGGTTAATGGAAAGCCTCTCTAGGGTGGAATGTGTATTTCAGGAGTGTGCTTACCATAGTCAAACAAGTCATTGGTGTAATTATAGAATAAAACGCCACAGAGGTTAGGATAAAGATGTCTTTTAAGGCAAGACTCAGCAAGGCAAAAGAAACAGACTCACAAACAGCTTCTGTGTGAGCCTAAAGATAAGCCACGTGGAGCTCAGCCACTGAGATGGAGTGCTGGGCGTGGCCCGAAGCTCAGCCACTGAGATGGAGTGCTGGGCATGGCCCGGAGCTCAGCCACTGAGATGGAGTGCTGGGCGTGGCCCGGAGCTCAGCCACTGAGATGGAGTGCTGGGCGTGGCCCGAAGCCTCAAATGCTGTCACGACTGACTGAGCTGTGGTGTCTACAGAAGGAATATGAAGAAGTGAGATGACTGATGTCTAGGATAAAAAAAAGCCAATTTTGACAAGAGAAGGGAGAGAGGGGAGGGATGTGGGGAAAGAGAAAAGTGGGGAGTGGGGAGGGCATGCTAGGGAGAGAAGCAGTAATCTCATCTGAGTTCTATTTTTGGCAGAAGATGTGACTTGTGAATACATTGCCAAAGGAGTTGAGTGGTGCCTAAGATGTACATGTATATGATGTATATGTATATATGTATAAGCCAATTGTATAAAAACATTCTTTAAACTCCCACCCTACCCCAGTGAAGCATCATTTTTTTGCTCCATTTATCCTAGCAGACAAAGAAGTCAAACATTTACCTCTATAGCCGCCTCCTATTCCTCCATAGGCACGAACCGGCTGGCAAAAGCGTGGTTTGTGGATTTTGGAGTTGGTAAAAATATTTAATCCTACAGACTGGAAAAATATTACATGTTAAAGCATATTGGAAACTCCAGAGAGGCGACTTGTTCTCAGCTAAGCTGCAGACCTTTATAGGAAGAATTATATATGTTTTAAAGGTGAAAACAAAAGATTTTAGTCTATTTTGATAAGATAAAATTTAGTTCACAGTCTGGATATATTTAACGCTCATGGCTCAGCTTAGTTGTAATTAATCTTAAAAATTTACATTGGCCTCTGGGAGTTCGAGGCCAGTCTGGTCTACAAGAGCTAGTTCCAGGACAGGCACCAAAGCTACAGAGAAGCCCTGTCTCGAAAAACAAACAAACAAAAAAACAACAAAAAAATTTACATTGGCAAATGGGACCCTGTGAAATTAAAAAGTTCTGCAAAGCAAAGAAACCAGTCAGCTGGTCGTGAAGGCACTGTCTACAGAAGGGGAGAAAATCTTGACCAACTGTACACCTGACAGAGGATTAATTATTTGTGATATACAAATAGCTAAGAAAACCCTAAGCAACAAAATATCAACCCAATAAGCAAACAGGTTAATGAAGTTAACAGACGGATAGTTCTCAAAAATGAAATGTAACTGGTCAAATATGTTAATATGAAATGAGTTCAACTTCCCTAGGCACTGGAGAAGTGCAGATCAATCAAACTGAGATTCCCTTTAGTCCAGTCAGAATGGCAGTCATGAAGGAAAAACACAACAACAAACACTGACGAGGAGATGGTCACTGCTGTGGGCCGTGTAAACCAGTTCAGTCACTGTGGAAGTATGGAGGTTTCCCAAAAGACTAAATGGAGGTAGATATTCCATATGACTCTACTACCCCTTTACCCAAAGCACTGCAAACCAGCCCACCATGGAGACACTTGCACTCCAGTGTTCACTGAATCACTGTTGGCAATAGCTAACTTGTGGAACCAACTTAGGTGTCCAAAACCAGAGGCATGGATAAGGGATACACACACACACACACACACACACACACACACACACACACACACACACACATATATATATATACATATATGAATTTTCAGCCATAAAGAACAATGAAGCCATGACATTTGCAAGAAAACATACACAACTGTAGGTAATCATATTAAGTGAGCTAAACCAGTCTTAGAAAGAAAAATATTAAAAAATATTGCATGTTTTTAATGACTATGTTTTCTATCATTTGTGGTTCCTAGACTTTATAAAGATACATAAAGTCATGTCTACATATATTATAAAAGTAGAAGCAAAACATTCTGGGGGACAAAGGGAACACACAGAAAGGGGGGATTAAGGAAAGGAAGGGGAGACAATACCTGGGGAATATGATCAACAATGTATATACAGACATATGTATATCTATATAAAGACATATGTATATAAAGTTTATATGTATATAAAGACACGTAAATTCTTTAAATGTAAATTTAAAGAATTTATCTTTCAAATGACCTATATTACAGCTGCCATGGAGCTACTCATGTATTAATCTCTAAGATACAATATATACATATATTTACATATCTACATATTTAGCTATAAAGCGGTAAGCCACTGTTACTTAAGGTGCTAGAGAAATTCTCTTAGATATGTATGTGCATAAAGTAACAAACTCTGAGAGTCCTTTCTGTTAATGATTGTTTGGTTAGAGACGGTAGGATAAGACTGTAGTGCTTAGGAGCTCCAGGATTTTGCATTTTAACACAGGCTTATCAGCCAGCTCTGGAGAGTTCCAGGAGGGATTACCTCAAACACGCTGCTCATGTCGTCATCGCCCAGGTCCTGCTTCGGTGTGTACACAATCCCGTTGTGAGTGATATCGTCTACAACGATGCAGTTTTCGTCATTCCTGCCATAATGAACACCCTGGGGAGGCTTTTCTGGCAGTAATCCATAGATCTGTACATTGGAGGAGAACAAAGGGAAACTGTTTCTTGTTCTACTATTGAAAGAATTTTATTTTATTTATTTTTCATCAATGTTCACATTGGAAACATGGTGCACCAGTAATACATAGAAACAGTTATAGTGAAATGGCAAATTCACAATTCAGCTGATTTTCTTCTGCCAGCTTCATAGTAGGCAATTTCTTGTGCCTTTTGGGAAAACAAATGGAAGAAAACTGACTCCTTTTCTGCCTGCTTTTTACGAATGTTATTTTACTTCCAAACTGTTCTCCATTGCCATGATTTCTAACATTGTCTTCTATTAGCCTCTGACAACTAGAAACATGTGCTGTGGTTTTCGTTAAAAGATCTTCTTGAGAGGTTAACTCACAGAGGAATTGATTGCAAAGATAGAGTTATTATATATAAACAATCCATGATAAAGTCAGCTAAATGGCACATTGCTATTTCATGCACTACAAAGTGATTAATTAATTATGCCGTAATGCATATGGTTAACTCTGTTGAAAGAATTTTAAATGGGATAATGCTCAATATGGAATTTAAGCCACCATGTTGTATTCACCTTTGCCGCGTGAGTGCCATAAGGGATGAGGCAGGGAATCATGGAAAAAAAGACTGAATGTCCAAGTTTTTGATCTTCTTATGCATAAATACAGCATTTAAAGGGCTGAGAGGATGGCGATGTAGCTCAGTTGGTGGACTGCTTGTCTAACAGGCATGAAACCTTGGATTTCAACCCCAGCACTACATAAACCAGGCATGCTGGTGCAAGCCTGTAATCCCAGTGCTTGGGAGGTGGGGGCCTGTGGATCAAAAACTCAAGGTCATCCGTAACTGTCTTATGAGTTCAATGACAGCCTGGACTATACGAGACTCTTTCTAAAAAAATGAAGTGAATTTGTCAGCATTGGTCTAAATGTAGAAGACTATGAAGGCAAGAGCTACAGGCTGGCAGTTTTCAGGTTAATGGTGCAGAGGGAGGCAAGGTAATGCGCACACAGAGACAACTAGATGATTTCTGAACCATTTGTCTTAACTACCCTGGTCTCAGTAGTGCTGGACCTGGAGTCAAGAAGCCGAGGATAACTGTAAAACTGCTAAAGACACCACAAAGCCAGTAAGCAAGGATGTTTCTTTGAATACACAAAGACGTTTTGGAGGCGTGTTTGAAAAGAAACTATTTTTGTCCACTCTTAAGGCCAGTAAGTGCTTGATTTTAGAGAAAGCATAAAAGCCTGGCATCTTACAGAATCTAAGTTGTTACAGGCTAGCAAGTGGATTGGAAGAAATTTAGTTCCTCTAAAACGTATTGAAGCATGCTCTCTCCATAATTAACACATCCTATTTGTGTTTTATTATTCATAACCTGCAGTAATAAGACCTACCACAAATTATTATTCACTTGTTAAGAAATACCAGAGTAAAACACGACGATTCCGTAAAACCCTGTGCCCAGCGACTGTTAGGGAATTACATCCTACTGATCATGCTGAGGATCTTGTCCTCCGTGGTCATGGTTAATAAAAACGGTCTTATATTATCAGCATTGCGTGATGCCCAAGACCCCAGTGGGACTCACTGACTGAGGTGAGAGCTCGGCTTCCGGCTTCAGCAGCAGCACGCTCTGGTCTACCGCACGGAGGGCGCAGAGGGACAGGGGCGTGGCTGTGACCTTCAGGTTGGCATCAGAGGCTGGCAGGCTCTGCGCTGGTGAGAAACTCAAATTTACCTGTAAAGAGCATATGATTATAGCAATATCTTAAAAGAAAGATGACTTGACTCTCTCCTCCAGCCCATTCTGAGTTTCTCACTTCCACTTTCTTTTGCTATTTCAGCAGGTTTACAACGTGGACTTTTCTAGGGGCTCTTCATTCAGCATCTGCAGAATGACCCAGAAGTGTGGCTCGGGTTTACTTTTTTTTTCTTTATTTAGAAAGTTGATGTTGATCCCTCTGAAATAGAATCTAGTATGGTACTAAAAACACTCCTGGGAAGGAAGACACAAAACCTTGGGTGGCTGACCTATCAAAGGATAGGTTGTAAGGAGTTGGTGAGATGGTACACCTGGCCTCCTCCAGTCATGGTCACATGACATTCTAAAGTAGTGCAGTGCTGATGGCCACTGAAGATTTACTGGGCCATCAAAAATTAAATGTGTAATATGCACTTTAAGATGTATGTTGGGAAATTAAAAAGTTTCTCAAAATTAAAAAAGCATCTGAAGGCTTAGTACAGAAGAACAGGACAAGGGGAAATTGTCCTGAATTTTGTTAGGGTTTTGATTGTTCTTTGGCCAATAGAAAGTCATGGGTGAGGGAACTGTTGTTTTTTTTTTTTTTCCCTTGATGTAGATATTTTTAAATTTCCTTTCCTCCTGCTTGCTTGTTTTTGTCTTATTCCAGTGTGTTAGTTTTGCTTTAGCTTATTTTACTTATTTTCCTTCAGAAGTCTATTGTCAGTATGCTCAGTGAAATCACGGTACTTGGGTCAGTGAATTTCGCTGCAACAAGGGGCCACTTGGAAATCATGATGTCCTGAGATGAACATCTGCATCATCGCTCGACATCAACCTGTTATATGATTTTTAGAAAATTTAAGTTCATTAGAATGAATCAGTTCATGTCTACGTCAAATGAACAAGTTAGCTATTTGAGATTATGATCAACTGAAAATATTATTTGCCAAGAAACGGACATGTCAGGAGAAAGTAAAACTGCTCCCCGTCTCAGGACCCAGAAGGGACACGGAGTGTGCGTCCTGACAGAAGAGGCACTAGATGCTGGAATCAGTGCTGTCTTTAATGCGTAGGCCCAGCCAGTGGAGACTAAAATTTTGGTGAGGTTTCAGAGGAAGAGAGTTACTTATTCTTAAATGCCCAACAGCCTGACAATGTGACACCCAGGACTTTTTGCTTTGTGTGTTTAGGAGGAAGGATTGCTTTGTGTGTTTAGGAGGAAGATTAGACCATGGGGTCCATCACATCTGAGCTGAAAACCTCACGTGCCACTTTCATTCCACCGTAGCCACAGGGAAAATCATCTCGTGTGGGATGTGCCACTCCACGGCCGAGGAAGAAGAAAGCTAAGACAGCAGTTGTTCATCTTGGGGACTGAGCGCTGTCCACCCCTGGATTCAGAACCATTTTCTTTTTCTCATTTGACTTGTTTTTAAGTGAATTTGAGACAGGATCTTGCACACAGCCCAGACTGGATTTGAACTCAGTGTGTACCCCAGATTCTGCTGGGGTCAAAGGCATGCACCCACCATACCTGCCCTGTGTTGGTCTCTCTTACTTAACTTTCCATTATACGCAAACCTTTGCAGGGCTAGCTGCCAGAAAAACAATTTAAACTAATACATATTTAATGCGTACACGGCATCTTAACGGGAAGATGTTTTAAATAGATACAATTTCTCTCTGTCCAGTAAAAGATGGAAAAAAATAGGTTGGTTTGAAGAGATGTGTCCCTGTCTGACCCCAGGTCCTTTCTCACTCTCTCAAGCCTCCCATTTGCTCACCACGCCACCAGGGGCCTGAATTGGTGGCTCTCCTAGGCCTGTCCTCCTGGCATCTCTACAGCAGTAGGCGTTCTCGTGAGTGTTGTGTGAGTCTTCCTTTGTGTGATCATCAGTGGTTTCTTTTCTGTCGCCTTTGATCAACGTGAGTGAGAAGGCATTTGATCTGGAGTGAATGTACCTTTAAGCTTCCTCTGAGAAATTTTATGGTGTCACTCAGAGATTTCCAATGCTTTGGAGACTCAGAGGCATTTTTCAGATTTGATTCTGAGCGGAAAGTAATCTTTTTCTGTCAGGTATATGCTGTCAAGCAGTTTCGAGTCTGGAGTGTGAGGCGTGTGATGAGGGGAGACTAACTTTTTTATATTTAATCCTTACTACAGTGTCAGAAACCTGTATACTTTCCTGACTATATTCAGGAGCTCAATCTAAGCTCAAAGCACACACTCTCGGCCATGACTGGATCAGGATCAGAGGTGCGCCAGGAGATAGCTGGGACAAGATCGACACAGCTTGGTGAAACAGCATTTTCAGTGGAAAATTGGTAACAAAATGTTTTAAAATAATCTAAAAGTTTGATATGGGACCTGGAGAGATGGCTTAACAGTTAAGAGCAGTAGCTGCTTTTCCACAGGATCTAGGTTCACTTCTCAGCACCCACATGGCTGTTCACAACCCCCTAAAACTTCAGTTCCAGGAGATCCTGTGACCTCTTCTGACCTTCACAGGTAACAAGCACACATAAGGTGCATAGACACACATCTGGGCAAAACACCCATAGGCATAAAATAAATGGATTATATATTAAATATATTATATATATATTAAAGA